AAAACCACTGCAATGATGTAAAGTAATTAGCCTCCAACTAATAAAAATAAATGGAAAAAAATAAAATAAAATGTCAGATGTCCCTGGTGGTATAGTAGATAGGAATTTGCCTACCAATGCAGGAGACATTGGTTTGATCCCTGGTCCAGGAAGATTTCACATGCCATGGAGAACTAAGCCTGTGCACTACAACTACTGAGCCTGCATGCCACAAGTACTGAGCTCTAGGGCCTGTGAGCTGCAATTACCGAGCCCATGTGTCTAGAGCCTATGCTCCACAATAAGAGAAGCCCAAGCACCACGCTGAAGAGCAGCCCCACAACTAGTGAAACCTGCACATCACAACAAAGACCCAGTGCAGCCAAAAATAAATAATTAATTTTTAGAAAAGTCATTCCATTAAAAAATATATAAATAAGATTTCAAATTTTTAAAATAAATAAATAGAACAAATCCTCATGCTAAACAACTGACCTGGAAACTAAGCTGTTTTAAACATATGGTAGAACAACTAGTATCCCCTGAACCTTAACTCCATATGCAAATATCAATATATGTCATACATGTTGTGAAGCTGAATTCAGCCCTATCCTTCAACAACATGGTTTTACTATATATTCATGTAAAATGTAGGTGAATGGAGGCAACTGACAAATTACATCACTCTTATCTTCAGTGCTTGGAGAAGGAAATGGCAACCCTCTCCAGTATTCTTCCCTGGGAAATCCCATGGACACAATCTTCAGTTCTAGATTAAGGGGATTCATTTATGATGTTATGACTGCCGGCAAGTCTTTAGTTTAATACAAAAATGTTATGAAGTCTACTGTGTTTTTTGGGTAGTACCATGACATCAATTTCATAACATCTTAGAGCTTCACAATACTTGTTGTAAAATGAACATAAATTGATATCAGCACTGTAGCACAATACTTGTTGTAAAATGAACATAAATTGATATCAGCACTGTAGGCTGTGTGTGTCAAGTTTACACCTTAGTGAGCTGCTCCATGATAACTGAAAGTTTTTCTGGTATGTACTGTGTCAGAACCATTTACATGACTTGTTTCAGTGTGTGTTATGTGGCAGATTAGGTGATTCCCAGAGCTTTGCAAGATGCAAGCATTATACAATAAGATCAAAAGGTGCCACATAGTTTCAAAAGGAGATATATTTGCAAACAGACTTAAAATATGTGATATTCTGGCATTCTTACTATCAACACTTCCTTTATCAGAGAAAAGGGCTAAGCACCTCCTTTTGAAGCTCATTCAAAAAGCAAAAGAATGTAGCTACTTACTGAAATTTCCATGGAAAAAAGTTAAGCAATGAGAATTGAAGAGTTTTATGTTTTCACCATCATTTACCTCTTCAGTAATTGAGTCTAATGATGAAGTAGCTTCATCATACAGAATGACTGGGGGGTTCTTCAAAATGGCTCTTGCAATTGCTACTCTTTGCTTTTCTCCTCCTGGTAAAGAAAATTTTAACAGAGTATAACATAAAGACATATTTTATATTTCCAGTATTTTTCCATTAATCATAACCACCAAGTAATACCTTCAATATTTATTTTTACTCTTGATTATTCATTTTACTCATTTCTAAGAGTCTATATTCATATATAATATCCCTTGACAAACTATATTCCCTGGAACATTAATGTAATTCTGGATTCTGACTTCATGGCAGGCAAAAAGAACAAAGAGGGGAGGTGACAATTTCGATTCTAGAATTACTTCTCTCACCAAAAATATGCTCATGACATACATTATTTTATATGTACTTTATATTACTTCCCAATGAACAGTGACTTCAGATAGAAAAATTCCAATATGACAGAATCCACAAAGCCAAAAACAAATTCAATATATGAAGTCTGAAAACCTGAAGACATGAAACTATGAATATCTAAATTTAATTCTTAATATAACAAAGTACCATTCAGCCAGTATTCTGAAAGACTTTTTTTTTTTACAGAAAGCTATTATTTTCACAGCACTCTTTCAATGTTAAGGCTGTATCCTAGGACCTCTTATTTCACCTTAGTTCTTTGCTATAGGGCTCTAGCACAGCAGAATTTTAAAACAGAAAGACTACAGAGGCCCAGAAAAGTTAAGTGATTTGCTCGAGGTCACAGAGCAAGTTCTGGCAGAATCTGAACAAGACTCGACTAATTCCCAGTCCAATGCTTTTTCTTTCACAATGTACGAACCCACAATTACTCCTAAATATACTCTAAAGAAAATAAAGAAACCTTCCTTTCTTCATTGGGACTCTCATAGGTCTAAGGCCATCAATCTTACATAAAACTTTGGTTGGAAGTATAAAAGATTCCCTGGTGGCTCAGACAGTAAAGAATTTGCCTGCGATGCAGGAGACCAGGGTTTGATCCCTGAGTCGGGAAGATCCCCTGGAGAAGTGAATGGCTACCCACTCCAGTATTCTTGCAAGCTGCTTGCACACAGAATGTACCTAGTCAATGTTGTGATGCCAGTTTATCATGAGAAATAAGATTCATTAAAATTCATGTGGATATTCTTCATTCTCTTTTTCTTACCCTCATCCCTAATCTATAAAGCTCCCCCCGAAACTAAGCTAGAATGAAGAGTAAATGCAAAGAGTGTAGGATGTTTATATGAGTTACATTAATACTTTCAGGCACTAGATATTATCATACTTCCAGAGTTCAAATAATTCAGGGCAAAGAAACATTTTTATGAATCCTCAAGAAAATTCATTTTAGGATAGTCCATTATAAAACTTAATAATCATCTCTAATTAAACACTTAAAATGAAGAAGCCCTAAAATTTACTTGGTCACTGAACCAACAAAGACAGGAAAATGAAGCTGGCTATAAGGAAGTATACCAAGTATCAGGAAGTCTCAAGTATCAAAAATATCCCATAATAATCTAAGAAATTATGAGGAGATACACTGTGCTGTGCTTAGTTGCTCAGTCGTGTCCAACTCTTTGCAACACCATGGGCTGTAGCATGCCAGGCTCCTCTGTCCATGGGGGTTCTCCTTGCAAGAATACTGGAGTGGGATGCCATGCCCTCCTCCATGATCTTCCCAACCCAGGGATCAAATCCAAGTCTCCCACATTGCAGGTGGATTCTTTACCATCTGAGCCACCAGGGAAGCCCATGAACACTGGAGTGGGCAAGGAATTGAACTGGGGTCTCCTGCATTGCAGGAAGATTCTTTACCAGAAGATACACTATTTACTATCAAATTACTTGTCTCTACTCTTCTTTCCCATGTGAATAATGATCTTGGCTTTCCTTCAAGATAATAAGTTAACACTGATCTCACCATGTATCAGTAACTTACTATTAAGCACTTACAGTGTTTGCAGCTGTGAGTGAAAAAAAAAAAAGAGACCTGCATGATTTTATAACAGTTACTTCTAGCATGTTGAACTGTTCATTTACAGTGATAGACAGGAAACTGGGAACTTTGCCAAAAGAGACTAGATAAGCATTAGGTTTGTACTCTGTCATTACATTTTTTAGTAAATGGTTCTGACAAATTAAAGTTTGAAGGGTGAATATAAGTGGGGGCCAGGTCTAAAATCTTTGATTACCTGAAAGCTTGAGTCCTCGTTCCCCTACTTGAGTGTCATATCCATGTGGCATTCGAAGAACTGCATCATGGAGTCCAGCTAATTTTGCCACTGCATATACTTGCTCGGGTGAAGCACTGATGTTTCCATATAAGAGGTTGTAGTAAATGGTATTATGGAAGAGGACAGCATCCTGGACCAGATTTATGTATATACACACATAGATACGCATATTTCATATTTTAAAAATTCAAACAATAGTAAAGACATAAAGAGCAGAATGTGATAAAAGGGGTCTTTTATTAATATCATCCCTCATGCCCTCTCCACTTCCCTTCCCAGAGCTAATCACCATGAACTGTTTGTTGTGTATCATTCCAAACTTTTTCTGATACATTTATATGCTTAAACATACACCTTTTTTTTTCACCCAACAAAAGTGGGGCCATACCATATAAGTTGTTTTTTTCACTTAACACATTCTGGGGATTGTTCATGTCAATAACAGAAACATACCTCATTCTTTTTAACAGTTCTGTGATACTAAGGATGTATCATATTTATCTTATCCATTCCTATACTGATGGATATTAGTTAAAACTTTTGCTACCATAAACAATGTTGAAATAAAATATCATTGTATAATGACTTATACATACCCATGTATTTCTATAAGAAGGATTCCTAGAAGCAGACTGATGGGTTACAAGCATACATTTACCCTTGGGTAGTATGGCCCAACTATCTTCCAAAAAACGCTCCAACAGCATATACTCCAACCAACAATGTATGAGGGTGCCAGGTCCCCATATCCTCAACAACCCTGGATATTAATAAGTTTTCATTGTTGCTACTTTTATGGGTAAAATGTGGTTTTTGTTTAAATTGGCATTTCTCTTATTACTAATGAAATTGAATATATTTTCATATATTAATATCTCAGAAGCTTTTAAATTGGATTTAAAGCACAGAAAGCAAAGAATTTATGCATTATAGATATTTGGGGGGAGAAAGTTCACTGCAAGCATTCATTTGATACTTCAATTTATTCTGACATGGCACACTAAAGCTAATTTACTTAATGCAAGTATCTACTTCCCACCTTAAGTATCCAATGGTTGTAAGGCAACAGTTAGTAAGATGAAACAAAATGATTCTATTGATTAACAGTAACCAATACAGTCAATTAATTAAGATCTTCTTTAATATCATAATCAGCCCTAGAGTTACAGATATTATTTCAAATCATATTTTAATAACTTTTACACCTACTACTAATATAAACTTTTCTTGTATGGAGGTGGTAGTTCAATCCAATGAGTTTAAAGTTCTGCAAAGAGAAAATACTTATTTTTAAATATTTTCTATTTAGAAAAAAAATGCTAACTGGAAATGTTAAAAATACAAAATGTATGGTAAAATAAAAGTTAATTAAACAATACATAATCCCACCAGCCAGCAATAACTACTATTAACATGTTGGTGTATTTTCTCCAATTTTTTTCTGTTACATGTATTTATTTAATATTATAAATTGGAGATATTACATTTTGTTTAGAAATTCTTTTTCAACAAACTTTGTATCTGAGTATTTTTCCATGATACTCAATACTCTTTACAACATGATATTTATATTGTTTCCAATTTCTGCTATTATAAACAAACTATAATGAACAGCTTAGCATATAAAAATCTGTTCACTTCTCTGTTTATTTCCTTACTAAAACTTCCTAGAGACAGAATTACTGTAATAAAGACTAAATATTTTTCAGACTCTTGTTATATACTGCCAATTTGCTCATCAGGAAAGCTGTATGCTTCCTCCAGCAAGAGACTGGCCATTTCACATAGCCTTACCCAAACTAGACATCATGAATTTTTAAATCTTTACCAGTCTGATAGGTGAAAAGTGGTATACCACTGCTGATTTAATTACTAAGATTTCTAATGAGGATAAGCATCTTTTCTTTCATTTATTGACCATGTATATTTTTCCTTAGTGAATAAAACGCTTTATTTTTCAAAATAATTCAACATATAGTCTACAAATCACCTAAATCAAAATCACCTAGGAGGCATATTTGCAAATGCAGGTTTCCGAGGCTCACACTGCCCTCATAAACAGTGTGCGAAAGGGAGTTGGAATTTCAATAATCTCCCTAGGTGACTCATGCACTCCAAATTTGGGATTCTCAGTGAAAGGGAGGACAGGCAGAGTGGCATGCGTCAGATCACTTGAGGACCTTTTACTAGCTACATAACATGGACAAAGAAGCCTGGCAGGCTACAGTCCATGGGGTCACAAAGAGTTGAACACAACTTAGCAACTTAACCACCTATGCTACAACTAAGTCCCAGGTCTTTCTATTGGCTTTCAGCATCAGAAAAGCTTACAACCTATAAGGCCATCTCCTTATCTTCTCAGAGCTTACTCTGAACTTGTTTCCCCCTACAGTCACTCAGCAAATACTTGTTAAATGCTCACTATGGGTCATGCACTGTGTTTGGTACTTGGGGACAAGGCATACCAACTTGAAGTTGGCAGCCAAATTGTTTTATAATTTTTATAGATTTACTATGTCAAAAACTGCTCAAATAATAGTTTTCATTTACTGAACAGTTATGTAGGGACATTGTACTTGGTGCTTTACACATATATCTCTAATCCATATTAATTCTGTCCCATAAGAAAAATGATATACTTATTTTACAGATGAGGAAACTGAGGCCCACAACTATACAACATATAAGGGTTAAACCTGGGCTTAGAATAAAGTTCTGACTCCAGTCTGACTTCTTTCCTCTATGTTATATTTTCTTCCTAAGGCTTAAAAAAAATCTTCCCATCATGAAGATTTTTAAATTCATGTTTTTTGGTAACAGAATATGGCCTGTAGGGCCTAACGCTTCCAACTTAAATTAACATATATTGACTCCTTGGATCCAAATTATTCTAGTAAAAGATCCAGCAACCCAACAAATATTCCCCCAAATAGGTATTTTTCCTTTTTGAAATACCTGAGGTACCACTCCCACTGCCCTCCGAAGGCTTTCCAGGCTCACATCTTGTATATTTTGACCAGCAAGGTAAATGTTACCCTTTCGAGGCTCATAGAAGCGAAATAATAGCCTCACTATTGTGCTTTTCCTGAAATGGAAAACAAGGAAAGGTTACATAGCTCCAACTGGCATTAAGGAACCCCTATTTTAAACTACAGTAATCATTTTATTATGACAAAGAAAAAATATTACATTGGGAATCATCAATGATGCAAAATTTTATAAACAACTAAATTACCCACCCTGACCCACTACCTCCTACAATAGCCACTTTCTTTCCTGCAGGGACTTCAAAAGATATTCCATTAAGGACTTTCTGCCCCTCAATGTATTCAAAATGCACATTATCAAAGGCCACCGTAGCTGTCTGTGGTGTGATCTGAAGGGGAGATGCCATCGCTTTGTCCTAGCAGGGAAGAAAAAAAAAAAAAAGCCACTTTATACACCGCCTAGAGTATTGCTATGCAGATAATTTTCTAATTCACAGAGATAAAAAGGAAAATAATGGGAAAGGAGAGAGTTTATAAGTGGAGTTAGACCACTTCTATGCATGCTTTTAAAGATCTGTTTTTTTTCCTCACTGCTAAGGCAAAAATCCTGAATGCTCTGATTTCTAATCAATTTGTTTTGGGGAAGAAGAGAGATGGTGGGCAGGGGAGAAAGGAGGTTGAGACTATAAGGACAGGCAATAACATTTTGTATCATTATTAGCAAAAGTAAATCAAGTGCAAATACAAATAATTGAAGTTAACAAAATTTAGTGTCTAGGTATAAAATTCTTTGCTAATGTTGTAAGGTTTCTAAACATAGAAGTAAAAGCTGTAACAGCCTTTTAATACACATTATAGTCCCAATTCCTGCAAAAGATAAATTAGTTTGCTAACATGGTGATATAAGACTGTTATCCCAGAATAATACCATTATGGGATGATGCTTATATGCTTTTAAAAAGGTATTAAATACATTACTTACTTTAATTCGGGTGTCTACCTTGAGTAGAGTAAACAAGGTGTTCATATCTATAAGTGCTTGTCTAGTCTCTCTGTATACAGTTCCCAGAAAGTTA